TCAAGGGCTTATTAATACCATTACAGTTAGCTGTACACCATTTGGGCCTTTACTACGATTACCCCACCTGTATGAACGGGTTGCTGAGATAGAGAAAGTCGTGGTTTGGTTATGTTAATTCAAGTAGGGTTTTTACAGAGTGGGGATACGTTAGATAAGCTCATTTGGGGTACTATTCCAGGAAGCTAGGTCAGCTTTGTAAAGTTTAATGGGATTGAGAGTCGGCTATGTAAGCTCGAATAATGTAAGGTGGGGTCCAGTTTTACGTAGGCTGCTATTTAAGTTTCTGGCCTAACTATAACATACTTTGAAAATGGTTGTATTGCGTTTAACAATATTCTCCAGGAATATAAAGCCCTTTTGGAAACATTTTAACCTATTTTCGAAACACTTTTGGCACTCCGAGGAAAGTATCTCGAAATCAGGCTCTTTCGCTGTAAAGCAGTGGTCGGCACGCACACATTCACATGCATTTCATTGCATTTGTATGCGCGTACAGCAGGCAAAAAGGGACCTTGTACTGGTGCCAACCAATGGTGGGTGGCAGCGCAGCAGCAGCGCCTTTTCCTAAGCACAATAGATAGGACCGTGTCGATTATTGATTTTGTTTGAGGTTTATATATATGTACGAGTATCCATGATTCTTCTGTGTAGATGTTATACGCAGCTTTTAAAATTGTGTGTGTTCGAACGCTAACACAACTTTTTTACCACGAGGTGATCATCGAACGTCTTATTAATGGTCGTCATACTGATGCCCAAAGATGCCCCAATCACACGGCATGGGCCATGACTATCTTGCTCAATCATTTCGCGCACAAAAACGAAGCGCGTCCACGATTGAATTCGCGATATTGGTTTTTACATTGGCCATGCATGGTGCTTCATCAAGAAAAGTTGCACTAAGCTGATCAAATCATTCGTGGCTAACAAATCAACATCGAAAATGGGTTAAATTCATTGCACAGAAATTTTCATGTGTAAATTTCAAGTTTTTTCTTGAGATGAATATTTTGTTTATTGTTAATTGACATCAAAAGTGGATGTACAAGAAAAGTTATATGAAGGATTATCTTAGAAAATACCAAATAAAATAAATGCAAATAACCAATGGGTCCTAATGAGGCTGAAAGTAACCTAGGCCAGACAGTTAAATAAGTCACCCGCAGGGAATGGCAATGCAACTATTTTGGAATTTGTTACAGAGAAGGTGATACAAATTTTTGGGCAAAGTTTAGGATGGGCAAAATAATACAAAATTATTATTTAAATAAAATTGTTTGTTCGGTTTGTTTGAAATGTGATATGAATAGTACAAAAGTAATTGCAGTTTTTCGTCTTGATGTGATTTATTTTGAGCTTAAATTTGATATGTTAATGTATGGACACATGTATGTATGTATGTGTAATGTGCCAAATCAAGAGACTCTTTTCATGGCAAAAATTGTTTGCTCCAATTTGCATTCATTTTTGGCTTAATATGGATTTCGTTTCTGTTAGTTTTCCCCGGTAGTTGCGCCAGCCTCTCCACTCAAATTGAACATTTTCGGAGCGCATCGTCTTTCCAATTAATTCATCATTTTCGATGCACACCAAGATATTACATGACACATCTGACTATGCAGGTTCTTGGGAGTCGAAGGCACAATGCGAAACTTCATTGACGTCATCGAATGAAGTATTCAATTACGCTCATAAATTTTAACGCAATTCATCAAATTGGAGGAGGAAAATATGGACAGACAAGTGGGCAGATTGCAGACCCGATTTGATGGTCGGTGAAAGCCACGAACAAAATGCCAATTGGTCTAGAGGCGAAAATTGTGCGTTAATTAAAGTGAAATTGAACGGAGATACCATCATTAGAGTCGTACAGTTACTGGGGAGTATAATGCGGTGCAAATATGGGGCAGCATAGAGCCCCTCCCCGAAAGCTTATGGGCGAAACTCTGTGGGTGGTAGAGGGGCCGGGCAGGGCAGATCCAACCGCAAAAGGTAAACTTGGTCGGTCGGATGGTCGATGGCAGCTGGGTATTTGGGGCTGGTCTTCCTGTTTGTGGCGTTCGTGTACAATTTAATTGTATAATTTTACAAAATTAACAAACAAGCAAAAGTGCAAAAAATTGAAACCCTGAAAAAGTGGGAAACGGAAAAATCTCTCGACAAACAGTCAACATATGCTTGTGGTTCGGGGTCCGTCCATATCCATGTCCATGCCCATGCCCGTGTCCATGTGTGCGTGTCAATGTTTGTACTCCTTGCATTAATCACACATGAATATTTCAAAATACTCGTAGTTTCAATAATTTTTCGTTTTATTATTTTTTAAACATTTTTCTTTATGTATACATACATACACACATGCATACCTTTGTATACATAACACGTATTAAAAATGTACATAAATCATGCACACATTAAACGGGTCGAACCCCGTATAAAAAAAAAACACCCTTGATATTTAATTTTATGTTGTGCCCATAATCATGTTCAGATTTCATTAATTGTTCGTCACCTTTGCCTCTTCAGGGCCTTCTATCACTATTTGTTTAAGGTAGCCGCATATTGGGCCACACAGCCGATATTTTAATGAATGTAAATAATGGGCGACGGGGAATTTAAAATACACATATATACCTTATTTATACATATATACTAGCAGGCACGCGCGCTTCGCTGCCACCTAAATGGATTTAATGTTTAGGAATTCATCGAAATTAAACAATGATAATCAAAAGCAACAAATATACTTACAAAAATTGCAATTTTTTCAGAAAACAATTTTTCATACAAAAAGGTATACAAAAAAATCCATTATAAAATTCTGTTCTGTTCTACAGAATGACACAAAATTAAATAAAACAGGCGTTCAAACGCACATATTTAGACCAAATTGGAGATTTACTTTTGATTAAGATTTAAGATTTTTTTGAATAATTTTTAATTCTTGAGGAACCTATGTATAGAAAAGTAAAAGTAAAAAGTAAAACTGCATGCAATTTGATGCACGCGTTGTGGAGATAGCCGCTTACACATTCATATTTATAGAATAGATATTTATAGAAAGATTATATTTATAGTAGTGTTTGTTTTTGTGTGCATTGATTTGTGTTGTCTAAAGTAGAGAAAACTTAACAAACGGGATTAGTAAACAGTCCAAGTTTCTGCCAAAACGTAAATAATTATGTGAAATTATGTTTTTCGAAACTTTTTGCGACATTTCGGATTTTTTTTAATATTCTCCACAGCACTGTACATATTGCCTGATATGGGAACATGTATTTTTTTTCTAATGAAACGTAATACGGTATTTACGTTAAAACTGATAGTTGTAGAGTGCATACCAACAAAATTTTTGTATATTTAATTTTTTCAAAACAAAAAAGTTGTCCCACGGTCCTCAAAATAGATCATTATTTCAAAGATGAACTTGTCACTTGACATACATATGTACATACATAAATATATGTACGTGGTGCAAGCCAACACGTTACTTCATGTTTGTGAAAGAAAATTGTCGCCAGGGATGGTAGCGTATTAATGCCAATTAATGTATTTTTTAATAGATATTACGCATACGAGTATGCGTTAATTTCTGCGGAGTGCAGATCAGTAATAAATGTGTCCAAAAGATCTAATTAACTGCTCTGAAGATGCAGATTTGGGGGCTTGGCGTTCCCCAATAATTCCACTGATGGGCTGTCCATTGGTCTTAATTCTATTGTAATGGATCCATGTATTTTCACGGTTACAAACGGCAAAAAAACACAAATGGATTGTGGCCTAACCTCACCAAAGACTTCTAGGGAGCGTACAGTACCAGTGAATAGTACAGTATCCCATGGCAGAAAAGTCTTAGAGATCAACGAAGCCATTCGTTTGCTTCATTGTGGAGTCATGCAATTCCCAACCAGTGGAAGTTGCTGTTTTGTTGGCTGTCCCTTCCAGACTATCTCTCTCAATGGTATATCTTTGAATCATCATCATTATGAACATCTAAACGATCAGAGTATCAACTAATTTTTAAAATAGAAAATCTGCCAACAGAAAAAGGCAGGTGGAATAATAATTGTGCGGTCCAGGTCATTGTTCAGATCACACCCCTTTTGCCCACTGGCCAAGACACCTGATGTGACTTCCAGGGCTCTCAGTAAATGTCCCCTTCGTGTCTGTGCTTTTAATTCCAAGCTGCCGCCAAACGTGCCGCAAAATGTGAGTTATTAAAATTGTGGACAATTTGTTTTCATTTTGCAATTCCGTTTGCCGTTTTCTGCACCATCTCCTGACCAGGCAATGCCCCTGCCACATACCTACCCCGTCCCTCTGTCCCCTCTATTTTTGTATTTGCATTTTGCATTTTCCGTGGCCAGAGCTTTTGTTTGCTTCCATTTTTTCCAAGTTGCATCAGCAGGCCAGGGGATGGATGCTACGAAACGAAAGATTGCTATGGGTGGTGGTATGGGAGAGCTGGAAGGTTGCGAGGCAAGGGGAATCGTCCCAGTTTTAGAATGGTTTTATTTCGGAATACAGAGAGCCTAAATATGCTTTATGCTCGTTCGAATGCCAGAACCCTCGCCGCATCTGCAGTGGCAATGCTCGTAGTGCAGCAATGTGAGCTGTGACCACGTAACATCCTCGGATCACAGTGATGCCAGTCCGGGGCACTAGTCGCATTCGCAGATATGTTACCATAAAAATCATTTATTCTTAACGACTCTAATTAAATGGCGCATTACAGTACAATTTACATCGCCAAATTAATTAGGAAGGTGACCGTGAATACCTACTGGGACGAGGGAGCTACAATCAGTGACTACAATAATTAGTTGAGTGTACTGCATGGATCTTTCAATGGGTGCAAGTATTATTATGGGACATGAACCGACATCAAGTGCATTCAACTCCATAGCTTTACATAGCAAAGGGTGTGTACATATGTACATATAAGTATGCATAAATTGTTACTTGGTTCTAGTAGGTCAAGTAAATTTATTCCATCTATTTTCGAATCACAGTTGTGTCGTCAGTATTATATATATTAGTGGAAAGGGGCACAGAGACATTTTTGTATCCTTCGATTTTTATTTTGTTGCTCCAGCTTTTGACTGACTGTCCAGGGAATATGAAGAAGATTCGGCAGCCAAAGATTATGTACAAGTACATCAGCAAGGCCACGCTGGACAACCTGATCGATAAGGCCATACAGTTAAAGCTCAACAAAATCCACAAGAAGCTCCGCAAGAAGGCAGTCTCTGCTAAAAAAAGGTCTGTTCAGAATGCAACTGTAGAGCCCGATTGGGGAGTTCAAGAATATGCACAACTTTTTCTCATATTCCTGTGCATGATGATCGTAAGTGTTTTGTTTATCTTGGCGCTGGTTAGGAATATTCATACATCTAATCTCCAATATCTCCAGAGCCCACGATTGCTGGACTTCACTTGGCCACCAAACTTTCGAATCGATTGCAAATTGTCGACCACTGATATAATAATACTGGTCCTGATGTTGCTTTTCGTGGTCTTTATGTTGGTGTTTTGTTAGAAATCTATTATTAAATTAGAAATCCACAGAGCAAACACGACTGCTTCATTTGGTTGCTTGATTGGGAGTATTCATTGAATATCTTTTTGTTCTTAGCCTAGGGTACAATTGTTCTTATTTATAATGGAGAGCGAGAGTTTCCCCATGCATTGTGTGAAAGGAGTATAAGTGCAAGTGTGCGTTTTCTCTGCCTGAGTCTAATAGAAATGCATAATCATTAAGCATTAAGTGGCTTTTGAGAGGGAGACCCATCGCAGTCCCATAACAGAGTGTTACATATGTACATGCATACACTGATAGAAAAAAGGCATAGTAAAAATAACTACAATCATATTTGAATTTAAAATGCCATTTTTAAATACAAACATAGTAAAATTTAATAGAATTCACTTTGATTCAAATATAAATGTATGCTTTTTTAATACGGTCATATTTAATCTAAATACAAAACACTTCAAAATAACTATAACATATTAAATTTGTAGTTTAATATGTTTCATATTTAAATTGAATATTATTATGACTTGATTTCAAAATTTGTCTTTTAAAATCCAAAGGAAAAACTTTTTATTTTAAATATTCCATATTAAATGAAATCAAATATTTTTTGTATTTATTTTAACTTTGTTTATATTATTTTTGTATGTCCCTCGAATTCCCAACTGGTTCGCGCTGCTGCAGCCTTGAATACAAAGTAAAATTATCTCTGCGCAGGGGCATAATCACAACCAATACAGTTCTACTCATGTTGCGATTATTTCTAGTTGAAAACTTTAACCAATTCACACCATGAGCACTTGAAATGTAATTTGCGTACGCAAAATAATAACCAATTAGTTAAAAATGAATATAAATATAAATATGAAACATATTAGATTTAAATATTAAATATATTAAATTTAAATATGAAACGTATTAACATTAAATATAAAACATATTAAATTTGAATATGAAACATATTAAATTTAAATATTAAACATATTAAATTTAAATATGAAAAATATTAAATTTAAATATGAAATATATTATATATTATATATTATATATATATTAAATTTATATTAATATCAAAATTTAAGTGAAAAATATTTAATTTTAATACAACCACTCTTGGATGAAAATCAATGGCATAAATATTAAAATCTAAGTGAAAATATTAAAATTTCAGGGCTTTTTTCTATCGGTGTAGGTTCACTACAATTTATCTTTATTTAGGCTTAAGTGAACGCCTATATATATTTATAAATGGTCTATATATTTTTTACTGTTCCGAAACGAATAAATGTTGTTATTAGCAGCGCTCTAATGCGAACTCTTTAATGATAGAAATTCTACAATATACAAAACTGCTACAGCCCATTCCAACGGGCCTCTGCTTAGTATCCAGGGAGAGTTTATTCTTATTTTGACATGCTCAGAATACGCATTTTGGACTCCATTAAGCGTTCTCATGCGATGGAGCTCTGAGCATATACCGACTACATGGACGCGGACTGATCATTCACTGCCAGCTTACCCACAAAGACAATGACGAGTACTGATGTATATAAGCCAAGCGGATTTTTCTTGTACCCTGGATTATGATTGTTCTGATTCACTCCTTTGCGATTCACCATCGCCAGTCAGAAAGGAGATGGAATCATGGGCAACACACGAAATATAGAAGAAGTGTCTGAAGACGATTTTAGCATTGGATGTAAGTAAGTACCACCAAACATCGGTGCTGCTTGGGTAAATAACGTTTATTCCTTGGATGATCTTGCTTGATATCCCATATTGCATTTTATTAAGCAACCAGTCGAGGCACACGAGCAGCCACACTGTAATACCCTGTTATACTCAGATGAACTGGTGTCAGTGTGATATAACTAGAATGTGAACACTCTTTGCATACGATTTGTGAACAGGGCACAAAAGTGTTTACAGTGCAGCAGCAACATCCAAAAAAGCAATGCAACAAATTTAATTATTTAATTTAAACCAAGTAATTCGACAGCTACAGCAACAGCATTTAAACAAATAATTCGTACACCACCACACCAATAACGATAGCTGCAACAGCAACAATAACAATAATAACAACAACTAAAACAACATAGACAACTGCAGCCACAAGAGCATCAGTGGCAAGTTGCAAGTTGCAACAATATCTTTTACAACAGCAACAACAACAACAACAACAGCTACAACAAAGAAGGGGGGGAATGCAACAATTTTTATTTCCTCTCACTTTTGCATGTCATTCAAACGTTTTGGTTGACATCCCGTCAACGTTGACGTCGCAGTTGCAGTCGCCATTGCCGTTGCCGTTGCCGTTGCCGTCCCCGTCGCAATGGTGGATTTTGGTGTTTGGCCTCTGGCTGACTTCTAAATGCATCACACACACACACACACACACACACAGAGGGAGACATGTGTGTGTCCGAGCATTCATTATTGCTGCTTGCTCTCTCTCTCTCTCTCTCTCTCTCACTCGCTCTTCCTCACGTTCCTTCTGTTGCTGCATTGTGGCACTTATTAAAAATGTTCTGGTATTTTTTCCTGGTTTTCCTCCAGCCTCAGCCTTTTCCTATCCCACTCCCGGTCCCAGTCTCTCTGTCTCTGTCTTTCTCGCATCCTTTGGGTCTTTGTTTCCACTGTCCTGACCCCCACCCACAGCAAAGTGCAGGGGAGGAGGAGGAGGAGGAGGAAGAGCACAGGGAACTGGTGGCCACATGGCACAGCAAGACGAGCAAAACGGAGAAGAGGAATCTTCTTTTGTTTATTTATCTTTTCGCTCGGTTTCGAATAACAAATCCTTTTGGCTTTACACATATTATGCGATGCGGTGCCAACCCTGGCAGCCTCAGCCTCAGCAGCTGCCTCTGCCCCTCGCCTAACTCCGTGGCTGCCCTGCTGCCTGCTGTCGCTGGCCTATCCCTCATTGTGCAACGTGCAGCATTCAGCATGCAGCATGCAGCCGTTGCAGTTGACTCCACTTTTGTCAGGCGTATTGTTCGCAGACCCCACTGCTGCCCCCCACGATCCCCAATCTACAATGCCCCCTTGCCCCTACCCCGAGACCGACCGAACCCAAGCCGATCCCAATTCGTTCTGTCTCTTCTTCTTTATTCCCCGGTGGCGGTTTCTGCGTGTTTCTACTGCTGCCTGCTGCATGCCGCCGCCGCCTGCCGCCAGCCGCCTGCCTTTCCTTTGCTGCCACCGAGCTTTTCTTTTTTATTGTTTGGCACACAGATTGTCATAGATACAGATACTAACGTGTTTCTTTTTGTTTCGCTGCTTTTTTTGCTCCTCTTTTTTGATTGTGTATCCGATTCCTGCCTTAGATACATTTTATTGTTTTTGCTGTGGCGAAGAGCCTTCTTCATCAATCTTGGTTGCTTTTTGTGCTGCGAAGGAGGTGAAGGAGGCAGTCGGCAGGAGGCAGGAGGCAGTCGGTAGGCGGCAGGAGGCACATTTCTATTGTTATTGTCGCGTTTGCCTCGCCTCCTCTAAAACCGTTTTGCATTCATTGTTGTATTGTACTTTCATCGTTTCCAGCGTTGTTGTAGTTATTGTTGTGTCTAACTGCATAAATGTCAGCATCAGGACTGCCAGCATTGTCTCCCCTGGTAGGCTTGTGGCTCAAAACTCATTACAACAACTCCATCATCGTCATCGTCATCGTCATCATCATCATCCACATCCACAGCTCTCCATCTGTACAAGTTATCCATATCCATCCATTGATGTGCATCCCCCATCCCACCTTTCACATTGGGCAGAGTGTTCAGTGCCAGCGAGTGTTGACACACTGATCTACATAGCATCCATAGTTATGTACGTTCCAGGGACTAGTCAGATCTTTTCCATTATAAAATCCACACCGATAGAAAAAAGCCCCGAAATTTTAATATTTTCACTTAGATTTTTATATTTATGCCATTGATTTTCATCCAAGAGTGGTTGTATTAAAATTGAATATTTTTCACATAAATTTTGATATTAATATAAAAATATTTAAATTTAATATGCTTTATACTTAAGTTGAATATATTTCATATTTAAATCTAATATGTTTAATATTTAAATCTCATATGTTTAATATTTAATTTTAAAATATTTTATGCTTAAGTTTAATATGTTTCATATTAATATTGGTGGTCGGCGGGCCGGGGGGGGCAAAAAAAATAGTATGAGCAGAGTTAAAAAACGTACCAAAAAATATTTAATTTCATTAAATATGGAATATTTAAAATAAAAAGTTTTCCTTTTGATTTTAAAACAAAAATTTTGAAATTCAAGTCATAATAATATTCAATTTAAACTAAAAATTTAATATATTATATTCATTTTAAAGTGTTTTGTATTAAGATTAAATATGACCGTTTTAAAAAAACCATTTTAATACAATTATATTTGAATCAAAGTGAATTCTATTTAATTTGACTATGTTTGTATTTAAAAATCGCATTTTAAATTCAAATATGATTGTAGTTATTTTTACTATGCCTTTTTTCTATCAGTGTACGTACTATACTCTAAGATGGTCCAGTGTGTAGTGGCAACACACCTGCAAAGGGAAATAGAGTGTTGTCAAGTGGCAGAGTCATCGCCAGCATTGACCATTTTAATTATTAACGAATAGGCGACAATTTAGTCAGAGTTCCGCAGCTTAATAATACGAGGGGTGCTATTTATGTTTCTGGCCTAGGTCCCTTCTAGTCTTGCTACTACCAAATGGTCAGTTGCATAAAAAAGTTCGGAGTTTTATGAATTGAACATATATCGGGGAACAATTGTTGTCCCCAGTTATTAGAGGATTATTCTCTGCCATTGGAATAGATGGACGAGCGTAGCGAGTTTCTGCAGCCTTTCCTTGTTGCTTCTCCCACACTAACTCACTCCAAGCAACGCACCCAGAACCACCCTCGATCCATGCATGAACTGGATCTCGCTCACACAGGGTTGATATAGCGATCAAAGACACACTGGTCACACTATGAGCGTGCTATTTAAATAGGGCGTGCAATTCAAAGATATTCCCT